TTCTCACCACGCAGCTAAAGGGGATTTGAAAAGATAAAATGTTCGTGTTAAATGTCAGTAGTTTATGAAAAAAAAAAAAAAAAACTGGGAAGAAAATGTAGAAGAAGAATCTAGGCTAATTGCTTGCTTATCTGCACTTTGCCTTGTCATTTTTATTTACTGGAATGGCTGCGAAGACACGTTTTATCGAGACATGCAACACAAGTAGTTGCTTCTCGTCTCGATCACACTTCCTATTTGGGTTTTGTTCCTCTTCACATCACAGTCACAGAGCGCGTGACTGGGCCGAAGGATTTGCGACCGCAGATGTTGAACAGGTTTTACGATTGGCGGCTACGACCGGTTTCCGAGCAAGCTGAGTGAAAAAAAAAATTACTCCAAACATACCACAGATTACCGCTTACCGATCGCTTACCGATAATCTTTCAGGGACATCTGAAAATCTGACTTTTGCTGATGTGGAGTGCAAGAAAGGCCTTGCGTTATATGAGTTTAATTTGTTCTAGGTCATAACTTGATTCTCTCATGAGTGGGAGGATGGATGAGTTTTTGGAGATGAAAGCTCGAACTTATTAATTCATACGTGAGCCAAAAACTTGAGGTGTACGACAATGTGTTTGACAGTTCCTACCGTTCAATCAATGGCTGATCAGAGACCGTCACTCTTTAGTTACATTTTGGTTTGCAACACAATGCCAAAATTCAACCAGCTCAAATGCTCATCGTTCCAAAAATTAGCGTATGTGCGTATTCCACTACAGTCCAACTTTGGCACAAAAATATAAATAAATAATATAGCTAGCTAGCTAGCTAGCTAGCTAGCTAGCTAGCTAGCTAGCTAGCTAGCTAGCTAGCTAGCTAGCTAGCTAGCTAGCTAGCTAGCTAGCTAGCTAGCTAGCTAGCTAGCTAGCTAGGTAGATAGATAGATAGAGATAGAAAAATATATATGTATGGTTGAGCTTCAGTTTGTGATTAGCAGGGGTGACTTCTTGGTTCAAAGATTCCGATGAACAGATCGCTCAAAAACTGAAAACACTTCAATTAGCTCCCTGCGCTTGTCTACAATGACAAGGCGAGCTCTCTGACAGACTTTTTGACTTCTAAGTTCAAGAAACAACGAATGGAAAAACAAAAACGAACAAAGACGAGATGACAAAGTGGCTCGAGTGCTGCTGATCCCGATTCAGGCTGTTGACGCATTTCTTGCATTTTCTTTGGGATTTGTTTTTGGGTGAGTTACATACACACAAGCAAAGAGACTTCAGCATTCCTCACGAGTGCTCAGTTCAACAAGCATAAAAGGAGGCGCCTGTGTGTGTTTCTTTTCTTTGTTCTTTTGTCTTTTTGGGAGGATTTTTTGTGACACTTCAAAGGAGGGCGTCAACAAGGGCGGATAAGGAGAAAAATATACGCCCCAAGTCAGTCTTGTAACGTAACGGAGTACAAATATTTTGTAACTCGGTTTCAGTGAAATTTTCATTGATCTGTACTTTTTATCATACAGCTTTGATTCCTGACTAAGGAGGTGCGCGAAGCCTTTTTAAAATATTTTTTCATGTAAAAACACCCAAAATGTATTGACATAGCGTTTTTGCTCATGTATTTTTATATTGAATGACTTTAGTGCTGGGTAATTATTTATTTTGACAGAAGAACCTAAGAAACCTTTTCTAAAGATGTCAAGCAACTGTTTTAAGCTGCGGGAGTAAAAATGCATCGTGCTTCTCCTCTCTTTTAAAATCGAAATGTGCCCAAGTGCACACAGGCAGAAATAAGACTCACATCTCTGCAATGTCATATTAGGAGCTTATTGGGCCATGCTTGCATCCCTCCAAACTCATCGGCTCAGATATCATGACACTAATCGCCTCATTTCAAACCTGCTCTGTTTGTTTAGGAAATTGCAGCAATGCGGTGGGTGACCTTCTGCGACAAATATCAACTGCGAGTTAGATCGAAATGTGATGCCACTTTGGTGCAATCGCTCCAGGTTGGCTACACTGTGTGGTTTGAAGACAGCCCTCCTCCCATGAAACGGAAGCTGTATCCACCGGAGGAAGAAAAAAAAAAAAAAAAGACTTTTATGTCTTTCCGCTTTTCTTCATGTCTTTTCATTCTAGGCGCATTAATGATTCATAAAAACAAGAATTTTTTTTTTTTTTTGATTAAAGTACCCAAAAGGAAAAAAATGATGTCTAAGAGTGGATTTCAGAGGGGAGATTTGCCACATCTAATTGGACTGTTCTTTGACATCATCAAACACTCCGAGGAGCGAAAAACAATGAAACGCAGTTGGAGTTCCAAGCACATCGAGCTCGGCTGGAGACACTCGGCGCACTGCGACTCAAGGACACAGTTATTAGATCAATGTTGATGATCTAGATAGACTTATAATAATGAAGGCACACCCTAGGGGATTCGACGCAGCATAGAGCTTAGACAAAGTAAACATGGGCATCCAACTGTGGTTGACCACAATTAGCACAAAAGTTCTCTTTTCAGACTGCTACACGCGCACGCGTGCACGCGCACACACACACACACACAGGCGCACATCAACACTGCGTTGGCCGCCAATGTTCTGCTACAAACCAAATTGCAATTATATTGGGCGATGCAAGCTCCTCGGGGGGGGTGTCGTATCGATGATTCATTTTGTGCTTTATCAAAGAAAGAAGAGTGCCATTAAAAAGGGATCAGTCAGCCACCAGGCATGAGGACTCGGCGACTAATTGCCCATTCATCAAAAAGCCTCCTCAAGTGGATCGCAGGGGCTGAAATATCTCGCATGACAACTGAACCACAACACATTAATTTCAATATTGATGAACTTCATGCTCTGAAGCATACCCCCCCCCCACCCACACCCCGTGAGGAGCCTCCGAAGAGGCTGGAAAATGAACAGATGCACACACCTGGACACGTGCATATGCAACACGTTGTACGTGCCACTTTGCGTTCTACGCATAATGAACCACAAACAGCCCGAGCGCATAACACATCGAACCATGAATCATGCAATTAATCCAAAAGAATTTGGCCTGGGATCGAACATGTATTCCCTCAACTGCTGTGTTGTTTTGTTTTTTTAGCTCTCTGTGGGGTGCCGTCACTTCATCAGCTCGGCGGTGAGATCGGCGAATCTGTTCGAAAAGAGGCCCCGTGTCCATTTCACTTCACAACATGTCCGACAGGCTTTTACAAGAATCTAAGACTGGTTTAGAAAGATAACAGACTCAACGTCTCGTCTTTGACTTTTCTGGACTCAAGACGCTATCGGGACGAACAGCGACGCAGCATTTTGAGCTCCATCCGTCTCCCCTTCCCGCAAATAGCAATTTCGCTATTTCAGCCATCTTATGATGCATTCTATCTAAGCCGTTATTTGTTTTTTTTTTAATTTGTCACAGAATTGTACATGCTGCTTCGCTGTCTCACACGCAGAGATGTGATCATCTGTATCTTTGCCGAGAATTCATCCATCTCTGCGGCTCTCTTTTTCGAGCTTGGGCAATTTTGACCCTTTTTCCGCCTCTTTTTCTGAACTGCTGCATCAGCTGGAGCTAAATACTAAACCTTTGCCCCGAGGCGGGGGGAAAAGAGGCAACCGTGGCGTGCGTGGCTACAGCGCAGCTTCAGTTAAAACAGGCATTCAAAGAGTCACATGTGGTTTTGATGGCAAGTACGCATTTATCTGAGCTATTTCATTTCGAGCAGACCGATTTCAAGCCAAGGAACATTTGCAGCCCCAGATGGTGCAGGATGTGTGGCTAAAGCGACACTTTGTCCAGATCGAAATTCAACGGAAGCACGAAAGTGCTGCGTCAACCTGAATATGAAAATAAGACATTAGAGCACAAGGTGTCAAAGTCAAGGCCCGGGAGCCAGATCTGTCCCGCCACATCATTTCATGTGGCCCGCGAAAGCAAATCAAGCATGTCAAGTTCCATGATGCTTGCTAAAGTCAGAACCAAAATTTCAAATTGTCATATGTTATCCACAATAACAGTCATTATTCTTGACTTCTGATTTGAAAACTAGTTATTCATCCATTTGTTGTGTGCTGTGTATGTGATATATGGGGAGGTGATTAAACATTTATATGGTTTCCCAAAATTCATAACGGCCCTCCAAGGCAAACCGTAACTACAATGTGGCTCGCGACAAAAATGAGTTTGACTCCCCTGCATTCGAGCATTACAAGACTTGGGCAATGAACATCCCCCGAACTGTTGGTTTGTTTGAATGTCTCACTATGAGGCAACGACAATTAGGCTGGCACCAGTGACGCAACGTTGGTTGTCAGCTCCTGCCGCTAAGACAGGAATAGGTGTACAAGCTATTGATTGGAGCCGCATTCTGTACGAGGTAAGCCATTTTAAACTTGAAATGAAAACTTTTTGCCATTTTAGGAGTTAAAACAGCTGCCGACGCAGCCTACTGGAAACATTTCCAGCCAAGTCGGTGTCCTGTAGGAGCAGCGGCAGAACACAGCAAGCATTCCGTTGATGTGACGGGCAAATTCGCCAAAGGATGTACGGGATTCCAACGGTATTTGTGAGTCAAAGGTGTCAGCTTATACTGGATGCTTCTTTCTAAAATCATAAAGACACATCCACACATATCTGGGGCTGATATGATAACATGCAGCTGTGTCGATTCACACAAGCGCCAGCCCATGCAACACACCTACGGAGTAAATCCGACCTCGGGCACGTACGGCATCTCACAAAATTACTGGCAACATTGCCGAGCGTGAAACAAAAAATGAACACTGAGATAAACTCACCAAAAACGGCAACTAAAAGCTGTGCCAGGAAGTTACGCCCACATTTCAAATGTTTTGAAAAAAAAAAAAAAACTTCTCCAATTCATTGCTTTAAATCAGAGTAAGACCGATGGAATTTGAAACTGACTCAAGGTTTCTTTCTATGTCAGTAGAGCACGGTGAGCTCTTCCTTTCTTCATAATGATCAGAAATGTACGTGATATCAACTCACGTGAACATCACTCGCACACCTCAGTCTCCTTCAACGATGACTCTCCGGCGCCTGCTGCCCTGAAAATAGAGCAAGATACGGTATCAAAAGTAATGCACTGTAATTAGTTGGGAAAAAAAAAGAGCTCCCGGAAATGGCTTGCGAAAACATTGTCTTGACTTATTGCGAATTGCGATAAAAGTCCCGTTTCGTCGGCTCAGCATAACATTCGTGTTTTTGGAGCGGTTCGTAACAGGATTTCTTTTGGAGTGTGATGCGGGGGAGCATTTTGCCAGAAAACACTTTCAATCAAATGTAAGACACGACTATAGAATGAAACCAAACATCACAACCTGTTTTGTTGTTACAATCGTAAATTTGGCGAGCGTGACACCGATGAGGTGCGGAAAATGATTTTTTTTTTTTTTTTTTTTTTAATCTTAACTCAAATCAATAACTACACAGGAACTGCACCAACAATGTCATCAAATTGTATTATTTCAGAGTAAAGTACTGAAGTGATGAATGAAAATCAAACATACTGTCCATGTCATGTCGTGTCATGTTGGGGTTCATTTTTGGTATACAAACTTGGATTTCAGTTTTCTGCATCTTTTTCAGTCAAAGTTACTGCTGGGTGTCACTCATGACCAACACGTCACTGTTGACCAACAGAGCAGCTAAAGAACAGAATCCATCACCTAAAACAGCGACCAAGTTCAATGCCGCCAAGATCTGGACTGCAATTATTGAAATCCAACTTTTGATAAAAATCAACTCACTCCATAATTTAATTCGGTGGAGTCTGGCACTTGAACTTCATTAGATACTTCCAATAAGGTTGCGAAAACTGCTCAGAGCAGCAATCATGAGGTAGCACTCAATTCTTGGCTCATACTCAACATCACATCAAAAATAATTCCAGGATATTGTCACTTTGGCAAGCCGATCCTATTCTTCATCCAGTGTCACCCCCCTCCCCCCCCCCAAAAAAAAAACCTTACAAGCGCATAAGTGGTATAAACGTTCGAGCGCGACCATCTTGCGACTTTCTGGTCCGTTTGTTTTCATGGCGCTTTGTAAATATACCGAGAACACACATTCACACCAGGACACACATTGCGCCCTGAGCATTGCTGCTGCTGCTGCTGCTGCTGCTGCTGTCTTCGCTGCAGGGAGAACTTGTCCTTTTATCGCCAGAGTCCGCCTTTCATCTCACCCATCCAAATAACCATCCAACTCAGAGCCGAACGTGCCGACACCGGCCCAATCCTGTGATATTTGGAAGACGGACCGCCCACAGGGAGCAAATATAGGATGTGGAAACTGTCCAGATAAAGCCTTTGATCACGTATGACTTTTGAAGCGCGGACGAGGTGCGCACCACGATGCGTATTAAAAGGCAGTGATCGGACCGTGACCAACAGCGACACCATCTGAAAATGCCCCGCCTCCTGAAGAAGACTGAAAACACCGCTCCATTTAACCATAACATCAGAATGACTGCCCCCCCCCCTGCCACCCCCAGGCTTCCTCCCAGCATCCATGTCTCGACACAACAAGGAGGTCGCCATGTCTCGCTCTCACCCCAATCTTGGGAGAACATTGCATCATGGGACGACAAAGGGTTCGACGCTTTGGAACCGAAGGCGGCCCTTTGATGAATTCCGAGCTTTTACTGGGGGAGCATCAGCAATCGCGGGGCTTCACCTCCCTTGATTGATCACCGTCAAAAAGGGACACCGAGGAAACGTGTCCCTCATCATCTTCCACATCTGGGAGAATTTTGAAGCCAGCGGCACGTATGGGCGGAGAAAAGAAAATCGCTTGTCAGTCACTCGCCTGGAATCGGTAATTGGAGAAGCGATTGCGGTGAAGGCGCTCCCCGCGATGTCACCAGGCTGTTCCCTCCCCCCTTCAAAAGACTGACAGCAGCAGATACGCACTTTGCCGAAGGTTTGATAAAGCTTTTAGAATCTTTGCCGTTCCTGAGAATCAAGATGGAAGTGAAGGGATCTTAAGATCTCTGAAATTCCTCCTTTCCTTTACGATAAGAATCACTTGCAAAAGGGGAACGCCACCATGATGTTGCGGCTGGCCCTTGGGGAGCGTTCGTGTCTTGATCACCAAGAATTTGTTTTCCCATTGCTGGGAGGCTGCGCTGCCGCATTCATCGCACAGCATCGTCGGCCCATGAATGGCGCGCGTCCGTCGGCTGCCACGTACTCGGGTCTGCTGAGAAAAACCCCCGCGGATGCTCGTCTTGGGGGTTCTCCCACTCTCATTAGGAAGGAATCAAAGAGAAGTAAAGGCTCACTGATCATTTACCGCATTCCCTGTGTGCTTGCGCCACGATCGGGGGGGAGGAGCTTATTTCCCAACACCAAATGGTGATAAATGAACTTCACAAAAGGCTGAATGTCTGATGGCAGAGACATCGAGTTAGCATAGAATAGTCTTTCGTCGCTATTTCGCCAGTCGTGGCAAAACATTACAGCCAAGGCAGCAACTTTGTCAAGCGCACGCTAATATCTCTGACTTTTGTCTTTCCAGCACAGATACGGTCTTATTTTTCTGGAGATGGTAGTCCATCCATGGCCGTCGTCAGCGGTAACGTTTCCCGTCAGACTGGCTTTTGTATGATGTGCATAAATGTAGTTGAGATTGAATCAACAGCGCCTCTGCTCATGACAGCCAAACAGAAAAGAAAAAATGTTTACACACAATCTGCAGAACTTTCCATGATCCATACTAGTTTGTCACTGAATTACCTTGTAGAACAGGAGTGTGCAAACTTTTTCGTTTGAGGGCCGCGTACAGAAAAATGGAAGGGTGAAAGGGCCACTTTCAAACTGTTTGAAACGCGCTCAAGTCGGTCAAAAAAGCAATTCAATCTTGTTTGTATTGTCGAGTTCATTTCATCAGATTCCTGCTTAAGGTGTGAAGGTAAAGAATGGAGGATTTTTTTGGGGTGACCAACAGCCCTCTCTCTCACAGAATAGATCCGGCTCTGCACTTAACAGCAGCCAAAAAAACTCCACATTCAGAACCCACAAAACAAACAAAAAAAAATTGCAGCAAGGTGACCATTTTTCAAACAGTTAAATGAGGATCACTAGTGTGACGTCTTCATATATCAGCCATCGAACGCTAAGCGGAAGAAACTATTTTTACCTCTAAAATTCTATTCACTCGAGTGGTTCGTAGATGAATTGTGTTATTCTTTTAATCATAAGTGGTTTCTTTGTTTCTTCGAGTACAGAGAAATGTTTCTGCAGTACACTTTCTCTTCTCACTCTGTCCACCTTCACCTTTTTTAACTCACTTTGTGGCCCATGTCAAATGTCTTTTTTAGGATTAGATATAGAGATTTTTTTTTTGGGGGGGGGGATAATCATGTCGCGGGCCGCTGAAAAATGTTGAGTAATCTGTTCAAAGGTGTCTCGAGAAACACGTGCAGATGAAGAATCAGTGATGACAGCAGTTGTGATTTTGTGGCCTCATTTACATTTTAATTAATTTTGAGTCGTTTGTATCTTTGCCAACATGGACTTAGCGTTTTGTTTTCTTTTAACGAAGTATTATCCACGTTGGTTTTGTGAAAATGAATTGATTGCATGCTTTACGCTTGCTGTAATCGAACTTTTTTTCCGCATCTATTTATTTATTGACATCAAAGGACGACTTTCTTGAGGAGACGGTGTGTTGTTTTGTTTTTGTTTTAATTTTCTGATGTTATGGAGCCCTGAAAAAGTGGTTGTTGCCAAGTGCAGCCGCTAATGGAGATCGGAGTAAAAAAAAAAAAAAAATGAATCATTTGATTACGGGACTGTGCCCCGGTGGCACGCTGGATTTTCACTGCAGAGCCCAGATAAAAGCAGATGATTAAACGCGTGTCACCGCCATTACGCTAGTGAGCCGCAAACTTGGATGGCGCCGACGATATAACTATCGTCTCAAAGCAAGAGAGGGGATTCGTTCTCTCCTTGTGTGACTTCGGACTGTTTCAAAGGGTGTCCTGCGTCTTTGCTTTCTTTCGCGACATCTTTAGCCATCGCGGCGGTGCACTTAAAACGAGGCTTTGGGTGTCCGTCTCATCGGTTTCTAGGCAGGATGTCTTCAAAGGCCGCACCCTCGTCTTCCTCTTCCTTCCTTCTGTTCGTTTTTCTTTCAAATCGACCCTCATATTTCTGGCCAGAATGATTCACGTTTAAAATGTTCACCTGATCTCCTTTTGAATCGACCTTCTGGGCGTACCTGCGGCATCTTAACTTGTTGGGCTGAATCAGTGAAAACAATTGACTGGTTTGGAGGGGGGGGATAAATAAGTAAATACATCTGTGTGCATAAAACATCACTTTTCACACAATGTTCTACAAACAAAACGCAGAGCAGAGAAACCGCAAGCAGAGTGAAAAGTCATTCATCCGCACGCTTCGTAACACTTAAGCAAACACAGCGGTGACATTGACACGCAGTTGCAGCCTGATGCCACGCCGATGTATAATACATGAGCCATCCGCATACATAAACATGTCTGCCGCTGATCAGCGTCATTACAGTCGCTGAAGACCCTTCATATGCATGTATGGCGCGTACGTGATCGCATTCGTTTCCCACGTTAGTTGTTACGCGTTCGACCAGGGGCTTTCGGTGCACAGCTTTCCCTCTTGAGAATTGACCCAGCTTTCAGAGTGGAGTGTATCAAAACCTCTCTGTGCCCCCCTCCCCCCTGTAACATCAACAAATTATATATAGATGTGGCAGACCCACTTTTCTTGCTCTTTACAAAGACATAGTACAATGACGGGCTGCAATAATCGATGTAACCCGAGAAAAGAGGTCATAAATCCAAGCAAATGTATTTCCCGGAGGCCCAATAGAGTCGCGCGGTGCCACAAACATCACCGTGAAGAGGGACGGACGTCCTGGCGTGCGTACAAATGAGCCTTTTGCACGAGCGCAAACGGTTCGCGTCCTCCGGATAGGAGGCGAAGTCCTGACCATCAGAGACTTCTGGGGTCGCGTCATAAATGGATGCGATCCGGTGGGACTTTGGTCGCCGATCGAGATCATTAGAGACGCGATGAACCGGAAGGAAATAGCACATATGGGGCGGGGAGCAGGTAAAAATGTGCTGGCCCCGGGGGCTGCTGTCGCTTGCTCGGCGTGTGACAAGACAGTCAGTCCGTGGGCTGCTGTTCCTCCGTCTCCGGGTGGGGGGGTCGAAGGGGGGCGCACACGCCGTCTGTTCCGCGTCCTCCCCGGCGCGTAAAACCAGCCACCATAAAAGTGACAACCCTCTCGTTCGTTTATTTGTTTAGAATCGATCAACACTTGATTCATCAACTGCGTGCGGGTCGACGAGGGGTAGCGGGGTTGTCTGTCCATCGCCAATTGATTGGAGACGTTAACCCAAAGAAGAGCGCGCCAGTGGACACCAAATTCCAATTTGTTTGGATCAAGACAAACGTTCAAACGCCACAATCGCGCCGAGGTTCAATCAAGTCATTTCAAGAGGAAGTCAAATCGAGTTGGGACGATCTGGATTTCGCAAATACGCAGAACGCGGCGTGTAAAACACGCACGTTGCAATTAAATCGCTGGAGGTTTACGCTAAAATGATGAATTTCTTACGGAGTGAAGATCGGAAGGGACAGAAAGGGGCGAGAGAGCCCCAGAATTGCAAACGACGGCAAACTGGCTTTGCTCCTCTCAGTCAGTCTGACCTCTGCTGAACGCGCTCGAATCGACAAGAGGACGTGCAATGATTTGGGCGAACCGGTCGTTCGTTTACCTTAGACGGGAGATCTTGGCCGAATAGTCTCAAGTTGCGTCGCTCGCGTCAGTGTGCTCCGGTCCTCTCCTCTGTCGCGTAAACCTGAGTCCAACCAACGGGGACGCGCGCGCGCACACACACACACAAAAACACGAACACACACACTCGGGCTCGCTCGCTCTATCTTGATCGCGCTCTCTTTCCCCCCTTTCCTCTCTTCTCGACCAGCACGACTGATAATCGAGCGTTCACATGAAAAAAAAAAAAGAATCGTCTAACAGTGACGCCTCGAAAATGTGAATTTAAGACATGCCCAGCCATCAGAGTATTAAGCATGCCAAACCTTTAAATCGGTGCTTTATAAAAATAAATACTTAAAAAAAAACCAAATCCTTAATCATGAAACACCTCGGTGATATTTTGTTTTGAGACAAACGGTGTGAAGCAATTTTCACCCCTGAAAACCTCATTTAACTTTGCTCCACAAATGTTAATGCGTGTCACAAAATATATCTCGTTTTTCCCTTCAATCTCGGCCATATAAACAAATAGCATGTGGACAAAGAGATGCTGCCTCGTTTGCTTTGTTCAGTGCGCAAGAAGAAGTGAGAGTTGTGGCCCGACATTCAAGGCTGCTTCAGCGTGTACCTGCTCTCAATGCCAAGAAGAACATCTGTCACGTTGCGTGGTGGTGGTGGACCCCAAAAAGGGGGCAGGAGGGAGGAGCAGGGTGAACTTGATGAGTTGTATTGGATAAAACACAGAAAACTAAATCCAAAACAAACAAAGTCCTCAAAACAAAAAGAATCCAAAGTAGCAAACCAAAACCACGACTGAGGCAAAAAACTGTCAATAACAGAAACGCGACCAATAACATGACCTAACCATGACAAACATACATGACAGCCACAAAGAAACAAACAATGACCGGACACTGAGTGGAATTAGATAACAACCAACAGGTGTGCAGCTGCAGGGAGAGCCCTACAGTGCCACCTGTTGGTCACAAACAGAATCATGACAACATCGCTGTGCTGCTGATTTTACTTTGCGGATCCGTCGATGCGTATCCGAGCAATTTCAAAGTTCCTGATTCATCGAGCTCTTATTTTTGTGTCATTTATCAAGTGATTTTTTTTTTTTCCTGATAGCTGCAAGTTGGGTTTCAAATCTTGTCTTACAACTTTTTGGCATTTGTATAAGGATTGACTAAACAGAACGAGTTGACATCCAATACTACGTGTCATCGTAGTATTGGAAGCCTTTCCGGTTTATCATTAATGTGAATATGCACACTGAGCCATCAGCTGATTTAAACTCATGACTCAGACCCTTTTCGTCGTCATTATCATCATTATCATCGTCACTTCAAATATCCATCAACTCCACTGCATTTACCGAAGACCAAACTCTATCTCCCATCCATCTCTCTCTCTCTCGCTCTCTCTCATATAATTTTCTAAATTGGTTTTTTTTTCTTCCAATGCTTCAGGTGTCCGGCGTCCACTTTACAGTACACTTGTAGATTAATTCCAGTCAACGTCCTTTGAAATAGAGGGAGAAAAAGAAGGAGACAAAAGTGTGATCATTCGAATAGAAAAGAAGAGGGACTGCATGACAGAATCACAGGACAACAGGCCAGCCAGACAATGGTGCCTGAAAGCACGGGTTTATCCACCCGGCAAGAGAGTGCGTGTGTGCATGCGCACGTTTGTGCATGTATGCGTGAGAGAGAGAGGAAGATAAAATGATCAAAGTACATATTGTGTATCTAACATGAGCCCATGCGCTGTTTCTTTCCACATGCTTTGATCATTTTTTTCGCCCCCTGGCCACTGCATAGGCCACTTTGCTTTTTTTTGGAGCCCGGAAAGTCTGTTTTGCCATGTATGTTTGGCAGGCAAAAATACTTGGCCAGGCTGTAGCACCAAGCTGGCTATACCATACACGGAACCAGAAAATCACTTTTGGGCAAAGCATCAAGAGACAACATGTGCCGCAATCAACCAGTCTCAAATTCAGCCTGCGTGTCTTCATGGCATTCTTTTTTTTTTTTTCTCAGACTTTACACTCGAGTAATCATGTCTGACTGCATTTGAATGGTTGTCTTCAACTAGATTACAGGAACCTCTATTTTCAGAGAGCCCTCACGGTGGCTTTCCATCAGCGATGAAATGGATGTTTGTGAAATAACAAATTTCAAAGGCTTCGGCCTTCACTCTGCTACGGCGATGAATTGAATTGTACTTGGGGGGGGGGGTGTTCACAGCCATGAGAAATGTCATTCTTCCCACAAACAGCGGAACGCGATACTGCGGAGCCTGGATTTGAATTTGGCTCGTCAGTAGGCAGGAAATAATGTGACCGAAGGAGTTCAGGTCAAAGTTCAAGTACAAGTGCATTGTCATTACTCCGCTCGTCATGAGTAACCTAAACGGCACTAAGTGAATTTAATTTGACCTTCTCTAAACTTGGGAATGCACCATACGCTCTCAAAGAAAGCACTCAGTTGATTTCAGAACTCCTACTTCAGTCGAACCGCTCCGTTGACAACGTTTCCACCCCTGAAAACGTTCACATTTCAAAGTGCTGATTTCACGTCATTCATTTTCCATTTGCCGCTTTCACGCTAATACAACACAAGAGGTTTTCAGCCGGCCCAACAACATCATCGACGACGAAAGAGGTTTATGAACAATTTCATTGAAAGGAAAAAGACACTTGAATTCCTCGCTATGCTGAAACATGACTTTCTTCGTGCTGGCAACATGACTTGCCGCGGCCAAACCACAGCTGCAACCGAGTGTTTTGTGGCCTGTTAACGAGTGTTCGAGTTACCACACTGACATCAAGATGGTCGTCAGGGCGATAATTATTCTTTGGTATCCTTTTCCCCGACGGGGTTTCACAGGAGACTGTCATCTCAATTGCTCCTATTTCTGTCAACCTGTCGAGGAATTACTGCCAAGATACTCTTTATTCCCCCCCGCCCCAAAGGATCGACAAGTCACGACAACACACTTGAGAAGGATTTTCCCTTGTCCTTTCGAGCCGCCCATTTCTCGCACATCTGCGATCACGCGTGTTGGGATCATGTGTGCAGGGTGACAACATGCATGTTTTGCAGGGGCACCGCTGTGTGCGATGTAGCGGGGTGGGGGGGGGGGGCTTCCCGCTGCCACTACAAAGCTTTGATGGTATATTTTCCTATACTGCGGGGAAAAGAGAGGCTGACGAATGTCCCGCTCGTGCTGGAAGCTGGTAATCGAAAATATACGTGTGAGGTGGCGGGAAAAGCGGCATCGGGTACGTGTTATCGACAAGCAGGTAAGCTTCAACTGTCCTTCCTGCCGCAGGAAACATTCAGCCTCCTCGGCAGACAGACGGGAGGAGAGGCAGGCAGAGTGACAGATAGCATGACGGAAGCAGACGGCTGTGCACTTGCATGATGGTGGTCCGCATCTGCGGCCCGCTACAGCTTCTAACATACCCGGAGCAGTCAGGAAGGCATAGCCGCCGCACGCTATTGTACAAAATGGAGTGGAGACAGACAGATGCCCTTCACTCTGTGGGGAAGATGACACACCTCTGCACACACACACACACGCGCACAAACATCGTCCTCCTCCCCTCCACCTGTCTGCCCCTTTGCTGTCAGGCAGCCAGACAGGAGGTGATGTTTGCTCCCTCGAGCGCCGTCGTCTTCTCTTTGTCGCTCGTCCTCGTACATACGTCCTTTCCCATCCATTCCTTTCTATTATGTGTGGCATTTAGCGTTTAAAGTGCCACCGTCCTCACAATAAAGCCGCAAAGAGTGACAGCTCGGCACAGACCGGTCTATTGGCGTCCGCTCGTGGCTAGATTCCAGATATGACAGGGGGCTCTTTGCCAGAAGAGAGGCCGGAGGCGATTGTCTGAATGCAAATGACCATATATGGAGGCATTATTATTGAAATGATATTCTCATTTCTGCGTCCTCGTTTTTTTTACCCCGGGTTGACTGAAAGTTAACTTTGGGGAATCGTGTCAGCATGTGAAAAGCCATCAATCTGTGAGAGTCGCCTGAATCGAATGAGGAAGAGGAAGATGAGAACCCCGCGGAGAAGGGAAGGAGGCTCTGCGGCGCTATATCGGGAGGTTGTTGTTCACACGGACGCACGTGGAAAATATTCCAAGGGAAGTCATTGCTGTGGGTCTGAAATGGAAGGGCTGTGTTAGCAGTCCAGCTGGTCACACTTGTACATAATCGCTCTGTTGATTCCATCTGGCAACGTTCGGACCAGAGTATATCACTGCGGGAAAATAAATGAAGAGACCACTCTTGTTTCTTCAGTTCAATGCTCATTTTAAACGCTAAACAGAACTCAAGGCGCATTTGTTTGGACCAATATCGCAATGGTGAGAGAACGTGAACGAACCGCATTTCCCACCCTCGTGTCGCAAAAGAAGCATTCGTGCCTTCGGGAGGAGACGGTGCAGTTCTAAAAACTACCAATATGATCATCAACACGGAGTGAAACTTCGAAGGTCGACGCGATATGTTCAGGGATGACCTCCAGTTTAGTCAGATTTAGAAACAATTGTCCCCGCAGGAAATTAAAGAAAGAAGTACGGCGAAGTGGTGCTCCGCACATCTGCCGCACGGCCGTCGGGACATCTCCGTGTGGAGTTTGCAAGTTCTCACAGTGCTCGAAGGGGTTTTCAGCGGGTACACGTTTTTTCCATGTGAACGCGAGTGATTCTATAGGTGCTCATGAGTGACAATTGTGAGGATTCTTCTCAAGACACTGCGATACATCCAGAAATGTGCGCACTGGGCAACTGCACCAAATATTAGACCAACACTGGAGTATGCACACCTCTGACATTTCTTTTCATGGGGTGGCTTGATAAATGAGCCAATATTACATTTCAAGCATATGTGCGCGTGTCTTGGGTTCATGCATTTTTACTGGGAGGATGTTTCTGCATTTTTAATAGTGTGATCACAATAATATACTAGTGGTAATAACCTGCTAACTCCGGACCGGAATATGCTATCAAAGAAAAGAGGATGCATACATTTAGACTCATCTAAATAAAAGATGCAACAGTGCCAAGAAGAATCATACCTGTGAGCATGACGTTAATGCGAAAGCGGGACAATTACTTACTTGGCCGAGAAATTATCCGCATAA